GAGGCCCATCAGCACGGCAACTCAGAGCTCACGGCCGTGTAGATAACGGGGGGTTGGGGGGCAGGGGGGGAACTGGGGGGCTGGGGGCACGGGGTGGCAGCCGGCATCTCGACGTAAGTCAGATCCTCGCTGTCCCTGGGGGGCACCTGGAGATACGGGAGGAGAGCGGGGTGCTACCATGGGGGTCCCCAAGGCGGGTGGGCTGAGGTTGGGCCTCTGGTGTAGGGATGAGGCGGATGTGACCGTGAGGGTGAGTCTGGAGGTCTGGGGGGGCTCAAATTGGGGTCTGCAAGGGGGATATTTGGGGCCCAGCTACGGTCTTGGGGCGTTTATCAGGGGCTGGGGGAATACAGGGGCTTGTTTTTTGTGTTCCCTATGGGTCACTGGGATTCCGTGTGGGTGCATTTAGGGCCCCTCTGCTCAAGTTGTACGTGCCTGTATGTTCAGGAGGGGGATTAAGGTTTGGAGGGATTCTGTGGGTCTGGGGGCTTCAGTTTGTGGGCTGAGGGTTCCACGCATTGCGGATTTGGATTTCCCATGAGCTGGACACAGGTAGGGCACATAAATGTTAGAGTAAGCCATAGGAGGCTGGGGGTCGTTTGTGGGCCCCATGGGAAGGGTGTGGGTCTCCATAGCGATGTTCTCTGCGTGCCCCAAGGGGTGAAGTGGGATTTGGGGTCCGCTGCCCCAGGCACCTACCTGGAATGGCACTGATTTGGGCGTTTCAGGGGTGAGACCTGCATCGAAAAGGGCAAGGAGAAGGGTGGGGGTTACGTGGGGTCTCGAGGAACGACTGAGGGGATCCATAAAGATCTGTGAGGGATGGATGAACACATAGGGGAAACCTGGGGGGATCCATAAGGATCTGTGAGGGATGGAAGAACACACAGGGGAAACCTGGGGGGATCCATAAAGATCTGTAAGGGATGGAAGAACGCATAGGGGAAACCTGGGGGGATCCATAAGGATCTGTAAGGGATGGAAGAACACACAGGGGAAAGCTGGGGGGATCCATAAGGATCTGTAAGGGATGGAAGAACACATAGGGGAAAGCAGGGGGGAACTGTAAGGAACGGAAGAGGACACTTGGGGCATTCAGTTCAAGATAGAAAGAGGAGGCAGGGACACTCGAGGGGATCCGTAGGGGATGGAAAGCATTGAAGCCCCTTCCTCACCAGGGCTCTTATCTCTCCTCGTCCAGAGGCTGCGGGCATCGAGGATGAAGTAGAGGCCCAGGCTGAAGACGAAGACGGCAGCGCAGCCCCTCACCACCGCCACCACCAGGTTCCCACGGGATCGACCCCCGGCACCTGTGGGGAGCGAGTTTTTGGGTGTCCCCATTGCAGGGCAGGGGTGCAGGGAGAGTTTCACCCATGGGTGACATAGGGTGACACAAACGGGGTCTCGGACCTAACGGGGGTTGCAGGGGTGGGTGTCGCCTGCAGCATCTACAAGGGGTGAGGGCACAAATGTTGGTCCTTGGGGCTGCGGGATTCTGTAACGGTGCTGGCAGAGGGGGGGGGTGAAGGTTTCTGCGCCCACCGGTGGGATCCTGGTGCAGGATAGGGGCCAAGCTGCGTGCAGGAGGAATCTGCCACCATAACCCCCATCCCAGCGCTGGGCGGTGACATCTGTCCCCACTGCCACACGTTCCCTGGGCTCAGGGAAATGCTGAGCTTGGGGGAAGCTGAGGTTTGCGTGCAGGGAGGAGAAGGGATGGGTCTTGGCCCTGTGGGAGAAGCTCAGAGCCACCCATCGTGCCCCAAACCCTCACCTGCCAGCATCAGCTCCACGGGGTCGCTCAGCTCTGAGGTCCACAGTGGCTCTGACACCTGGTACCGACACTGATACGTCCCCATGTCCTCCAGGTTGGCGACAGCAAAGGAGAACTCAGCCACGTCCTGCTCCTGGTCTTTTTCCTTGTTAGATCTGAGAGTTCCATTCAACCAGAGCTGGACCCAGGCGGTCATTCGGGGCAGGTGGCAAAGCAGGGTGACATTGTCCCCCAGGGACACCTCCTGGCTGGGGTGCAGCGACAGGGAGGGTCGGGGCACTGGGACAGGGGACAGCAGTCAGCCTTGTCCCTGCACGCCCTCCTGGGCCCCTCTGATGGCCCCCTCCCCACGCTGCCCTCCCTCTCTCCCCATTCTCCCCCTGCCCCCATACTCACATTTCTGTGCTCCGCTCGCTGCCACCACCCACCAACCTGCAATGGACACGATCCTGGCGTCACACAGGGCCACCAACCCCCCGTGGCACCACGTCCCCATCGTCACTCACCCAGGATGAGGGCCAGCGCCCTGGGTGCCATGATTCAGGAGCAGCCTTGGGGACAGCGAGACTGCAGTGGGGACAGGAAGTGGCCAGAGAGGCAATCTCATTTCCCCTTGGGGACAGGATGACGTGATGTCACCACCTTGTGACAGATTTCCCCCATTGGTGGTGACACTACACTGTGCCCACTTGGCTGACACGCACAGAGCGTTGCACACAGACCCTGTTTGTGTTTCCCACGCTGGCCGTCCCCCCCCAAGTGTCACAGAATGTCCCCAAAGTCCTGTCATTGCGTGGCCTCGTGCGGTGGGGGGCCAAACACAGCACACGTGGCTTCAGGATCCGCAGCCTTCGGGCCCCACATTGGGCACCACAGGGACTGCAGTGCTGTCAGCCCTTCGATCACTGACCCCCACCCTCTTTGAGAATCAACCAAGAAAATGCAAAACTCGTCAGTTGCGATAAGAACCCGTTTATTAGGGTAGGAAAGGGAGGGAGAAATCGTGATGATGGTAAACAGGAGTGGTTCACAGGTTGGTTCAGCCCTGATTCTTTCACCGATGTTGTGGGGGGGGATGCACGAAGCCATGCCCTGGGAAAGGGGGGAATGGGGAACAGGCAGGGAGACGGGCCTGGGAACAAAGCGGGATCAGCCATCAGAGGAGAAAAGCTCATTTATTGTAGAATCATGGAATCATAGAATCACCAAGGTTGGAAAAGACCTCAAAGCCCATCCAGTCCAACCGTTCACCTCCTACCAACAGCTCCCACTAAACCACGTCCCTCAACACAACATCCAGACTTTCCTTCAACACCCCCAGGGTTGGTGACTCCACCACCTCCCTGGGCATCCATTCCAGTGCCTGACCTTTCTGAAAAGTAATAATTCCTCATGTCCAGCTTGAATCTCCCATAGCTTGAAACCATTCCCCCTGGTCCTATCACTGATGACACGAGAGCAGAGGCCGACCCCCAGCTCACTCCAGCCTCCCTTCAGGCAGCCATAGAGAGCAATGAGGTCTCCCCTGAGCTCCTCTTCTCCAGGCTGAACATCCCAGCTCCTTCAGCCTCTCCTCATCAGCCCTGTGTTCCAGACCCCTCACCATTTCATTGCCCTCCTCTGAACACGTTCCAGGGCCTCAATATCTTTCTTGCAGTGAGGGGCCCAAAACTGGACACAGCACTCGAGGTGCGGCCTCACCAGTGCCGAGTACAGGGCACAATCACCTCTCTGCTCCTGCTGGCAGAGCTGTTTCTGATGCAAGCCAGGCTGCCATTGGCCTTCTTGGCCACCTGGGCACACTGTGGGCTCATATTCAGCCCAGCATCCATCCATACCCCCAGGTCCATTTCCTCTACGCCGTCCTCCAGCCACACCGCCCCAAGCCTGCAGCGTCGCCTGGGGTTGTTGTAACCCAAGTGCAGGACCCGGCATTTGGCCTTGTTGAAACTCATCCCATGGGCTTCAGCCCAGCTCTCCAGCCTGTCCAGATCCCTGTGTGGCCTCGCTACCCCCAGGCAGATCACAGAATCACAGAATGGTAGGGGTTGGAAGGGACCTCCAGAGATCATCAAGTCCAACCCCCTGCCAAAGCAGTTCCCTACACCAGGTCGCACAGGTCAGCATCCAGGCAGGTCTTGAACATCTCCAGAGCAGGAGACTCCACCACCTCCCTGGGCAGCCTGTTCCAAATCCACACTTCCAGCCCATTTGGTGCCATCTGCATAAGTACTGAGGGTGCACTCGATGCCCTCATCCCGGTCATCAATCAAGATATTGAAGAGGACAGGCCCCAGCACCGACCCCTGGGGAACACCGCTCACGACCGGTCGCCAGCTGGATTTCACTCCATTCACCACCACTCTCTGAGCCCGGCCCTCCAGCCAGCTCCTCACCCAGCCATCCAAGCCTCGGGCTGCCATCTCCTGCAGGAGAATGCTGTGGGGGACAGTGCCAAAGGCTTTGCTGAAGTCTAGGTAGACCTTTCCCTCATCCACCAGATGGGTCACTCGATCATAGAAGGAGATCAGGTTGGTCAAACAGGACCTGCCCTTCATGAACCCATGCTGCTGGGCTTGATCCCCCACTCACCCTGCACATGCTGCATGATCTCCCTCAAGACAATCTGCTCCATCACCTTCCCTGGCACCGAGGTCAGGCTAACAGGCCTGCAGTTCCCTGGATCCTCCTTACGACCTTTCTTGTAAATCTTGTAAAGTAAAAGCAAGGCGTCAGAATGCAAGGCGACACGATATAGAGCAGCGTGATGCCACGCAACTGAAACTGAAGCTAATAAATCCAATAAAATAACCGTGTGCCCAAAACCAAAGGCCTTGCTCGAACGCTGATGGCGGGATGAGTGGGGAGCGCGCACTGGGAGGAGCAGAAAGGGAAAAGAGGGCAGCTGATGAGCTGCCAACAGTTTTATCTTTCCCTCTGGATGGAAAACAGAGAACAGAGCAGCATAAAATCCTTGGGATCCGCAGCGTGTGGTCCTTTTTCTCTTTGGAGAGCCAAGAACTATCGGTGATCCGTGGATCTGGAGCATTTGCTCTTTTCCTCTTGATGTTCTACCTGAAGTTATGGCGTGGAATGCCAAAAAAACCACCCCAAAATCACAAACCCGTGGCAGGTAATAATCTTTATAGATCCACAAAACAAAGAGACGCCGAGCGCGACTGCTCACCACCCTCCAACCAACCCCAAAAGATTTTGGGAGCCGGTGGGTGAGAAGGGATTTGAGGTTGATGAAGAAGGATTTGGGGGTTGGAATGGGTGAACGAGGGGTTTGGTTTGATTTTGAGGATTTGGGGATGGTAGATTTGGTGGGCGTTTGGGGTTCTGATGGCTAAGACCGGGTTGCTTGGGCTTGGGAGTCGAATGTGGCTCAGTGTTGTGGATCCAAGCGTGGTTTTGGAGTTGTCTCATTACGGTTTGAGGGTGGCCACGAGTACTGAGGGGCGTTTGGGGCCGGGGGAGCAGGGGAGGCTTAGATGTGAGGACTCCATAGGGCAGATTCTAGGGGGGGTCCTATGCATTTGGGGGTTCCACTATGGTTGGAGGTGCCCATGGGATTTGGGGGCTGTGCAGGAGGATTGGGGTTCCCTGGGACTTTGTGCTGGCTGTGGTCTTTGTGGCTGCTGTGTTCTCAATTCTGGGGGTGCCTGTAGGGTCTGGGTGTCTGTAGGGCTGGAAGAGGACAAGAAAAGGTTGGAGGTTTATATCTGGTGTTCCCGCAATGTAGATTGTGGTTTTAACATGAGCTGGATTTGGGGATGCACATAAAGACAGAGTGAGGGATGCGAAACTGGGAGTCCTTGGGGTTCACGTGGGCAGGGTTTGGGGTTCGCAGTGGGGTTTTGGGGATCCCCAGGGCATAGGTTGTGCCTGGGGATTAGACTCAGACATTGTCCTGGCACTGAATGGACTCAGCTTTCCTAGGGGAGGGGCACCTGTATCAAAATGGGGAGTGGGATGGGGGTTATGGAGGGCACCAGAGAGCACGAGGGGGATCAACAGTGCATGGAAGTGGAGGCAGGGGAAAGTGAAGGGGATTTATCCAAAATATGGGATGGAAGGTGAGGAAGGACACAGCTGGGGGGTGGAATAGAGATTGAGAGGTACAGGAGGGAGATTGGAGGGTTTATGCACCATCAAGGAAGAAGCAGAACGTACTTGGGGGGATCTAAAGCTGCTCTATGGGGTGTCAAAGGGATTCAGCTGCCTTCCCCACCAGGGCTGTCACCTCTTCGTACCCAGAGGCTGAGGGCATCGAGGACAAAGTAGAGGCCCAGGCCAAAGACGAGGGCAGCAGCGCAGCCCCTCACCACCGCCACCACCAGGGACCTCCTCGCGTCACCTGCGGGGTCCAGCAGTGTGCATGTCCTCATCCCCGGCCGTCACCCCCACAGTGATGGGATGCAGAGGCCCTGCCAGCAATGAGTGACAGCAGGGACACCGAAACGGGGGGCTCAGACCCACCTGGGGGTGCAGGTGAAGGCATCACCTCCAGCGTCACGTTTTCACCAAGGAGTGAGGAAAGAAAGTACAAACCCCCAGGGCGGTAGGAGCAGCGATAGGTGCCCGAGTCAGCTGGGGTCACCTCAAAGAGGGTGAAGGTGGCCGTGCCCCAACCATCAGGTTTCTGGTGCTGGATAGGGGCTGAGAGCCCGTCCTTGTGCAGGAAGGTGACCCCATTGTACTCGTTCCGGCACTGGATGGTGACGTTGGTCCCTGTCCCCACGTTTCTCCCAGAGCTCATGGAAATGCTGGGCAGGGGATAAATGAGATCTGTATGCAAAGAGGAGACAGCAATGGGACGTGGCCCTGTGGGGACAGCCCAGGGCCAACCATTGTCCCTGTGCCCTCACCTGTCACCACCAGCTCCACGGGGTCACTCAGCTGCGATGTTCCACGTGGCTTTGACACCCGGTACTGGCACCAATATTTCACTGCATCTTCCTTGTTTACACCATGCAAGGTGAACTCAGCCACATCCTGTGCCATGTCCACGTCCTCTTGCTTTAAGAGTTCCCAGCTTTCTTCCTTGTAGAACTCAACTCGTGCAGCCGGCCGGGGCAGGTGGCACCTGAGGGTGACAGCGTCCCCCAGGGACACCCCGTGGCTGGGGTGCAGCGACAGGGAGGGTGGGGGCACTGGGACAGGGGACAGCAGTCAGCCTTGGCCCTGCATGCCCTCCTGGGCCCCTCTGATGGCCCCCTCCCCACGCTGCCCTCCCTCTCTCCCCATTCTCCCCCTGCCCCCATACTCACATTGCTGTGCTCCACTCGCTGCCGCCAGCCACCAACCTGCGAGGGACACGGTCCTGGTGTCACACAGGGCCACCAACCCCCGTGGCACCACGTCCCCATCGTCACTCACCCAGGATGAGGGCCAGCGCCATGGGTGCTATGATTCAGGAGCAGCCTGGGGACGGCGAGGCTGCAGTGGGGTCAGGAAGTGGTCAGAGAGCTGCTTTCAGTTCTCATGGGGACAAGAAGTGACGTGATGCCACTTCCTAATGTTGCAATTCCAGTCCCCAAGGCGTGACGTCTTTGGGGACCCACCGTGGGCTGCCACATGTGCAGCTGCAATCGCAGCCCCTGCTGGGGTGCCCCACACTGTTTGTCACCTCTCCGCTGCCACACGCTGTCCCCCAAGGGGAGGCCAAACACGTGGCTCCAATGCTTTGCCCCACGCAGGATGTCACATGCAGCCCCCATCGCGACCAGCCTGTTGTCACCACGCGCTCTGGGCACCACGCTCTGTTCCCACCCCGCCATCCCCACAGCGGGGACCTTTTGGGGACACCACGCAGCCCAGCAGCGCGCCTGAACCAGGACTGGTTTGGATGCGGGATGGGAAGAGAATAAAACTGTTTGCGTGCTGCTCACCGTTGGCCCCCCGATATCCACAAGGAACTGCAGAAAGCTGACGGGGTTTCACGCCTGTATCGCAGTGGGCTGAAATTGCCTACAAAGTGAGCAACAGCGGGGAGGAAGCAGAAGAGGAACACCAAGCAAAAGAGAAACAGAAGAGCAGTGAAATGCAGCTGTGATTCCCGGCAGCGGCCGTGGAGCAAAATCAAGAAGCCAAGAGGAAGGACTGGAGGGGGATCTCAGGGCGAGAAGTGATTAGCGGAGTTTTTGGGGAAGTTTTCTGCGTTGTATTTTATTCTGCTTTATGTTGCTGAGGACCTTGAAGTCAGAATTCCGTGCCTGCAGAAGGGGCCGAGGTGAAAGTGAGACGTGTGATACCTTTTTTGAGGCTGGAAATCAAAGTTCTTCCGATGTGGGAGTCAGAAAAGGCCGAGCTGAGCAGAGGCAGGAGGTGATCGCTTCTGAACGCAAAGCCCAGCGGTGGCTCAAATGGCTCGGCTGCACTCATGGTGTGAGAATCCTTCTTTGTTTTGTTTTTTGGGTTTTTTTTTTTTGGCTCAAAGCTTGCTTCCTTAGGTATTTTGTTGAGGAGGCAAGTGATGGGTGTTGTGCGGCAATCAACATCGCTGTGTGGACAATTCTACATCTTTGGAGCTGCTTGCCTTAGGAAGATGGTGCTCAGGACTGTTGACTGGCAAAAGATCCAGCCTGTGAGCAAATAACTCCTGTTTGCCATGGAAGACTGGGGGATGATGCCATTGCATCCTGCGAAGGCAAGGTACAAGTTGGCGCCTCCCTGCTCCCTCTTATCTGCTGGCAAGGCCAGGAAGATAAGAACAAAGGAGTTTCTGCTGAGATCCCAGAGCCAGAAGATGCCACTCAAAGGAGAGCTGACTCGACCACCTTGGATTTGAGCTGTCACTGCAAGGACAGCTTGCAGTGAAGTGAGAAGGACCTGGGGGTCCTGATGGACGAGAGACTGAACATGAGCCAGCAGTGCGCTCTGGCAGCTCGAAAGGCAAATGGGATCCTGGGCTCCATCAGCAGAGGGGTGGTCAGCAGGGACAGGGAGGTGATTGTCCCTCTCTACTCGGCTCTTGTGAGGCCCCATCTGGAGTCCTGTGTCCAGGTGTGGAGCCCTCAGTACAAGAAAGACAGAGAGATCTTGGAAAGGGTCCAGAGGAGGGCGACTGAGATGAGCAGGGGGCTGGAGCACCTCCCCTATGAGGACAGGCTGAGGGAGTTGGGCTTTGTTCAGCCTGGAGAAGAGAAGCTGCGGGGTGACCTCAGTGCAGCCTATCAATACCTGAAGGGAACTTACACCCAGGAGGGGAGTGAACTCTTCAAAAGGGCTGACAACAGCAGGACGAGGGGAAATGGATCCAAGTTGAAGGAGGGAAGATTGAGGTTGGATGTTAGTGGGAAGTTCTTCACAAGGAGAGCAGTCAGGCCCTGGAACGGGCTGCCCAGGGAGGCTGTGGATGCCCCGTCCTTGGCCGTGTTCAAGGCCAGGTTGGACGGGGTCCTGGGCAACCTGATCTGAATGTGGATGTTTGGTGGCCCTGCTGGGCAGGGGGGTTGGAACTGTGTGATCCTTGAGGTCCCTTCCAACCTGGGTGATTCTGTGATTCTGTGATTCTGTGATTCTGTGACAGCTGACTCAACTACTTTGAAACCATTGAAAAGGGGCCATCATCGCCATGGTCGTCATTGTCAACAGAACAGCTCTGCCTGACGACCCACCGCTACTGAAGATCAAAGGCTGAACTACAAACCTCACTGGATCCATGGTGCTGACTGTGTCCCTCTTGCTTCCTATGAAGACTCCTTGCTTCTTCTTTTCTATCTTTTCTATCGCCCTCCTTCCCTTCCCCATTACCCTAATCCCGCCCTCCCCTTCCCCGTTTCCCTGATTAAGATTTGTAATCAACGGGTCGGACCAACATTGGAACCGTTGCTTCTTAATCTCACGCCGGGTATAGAGATAACAAAAGAACCTCCTCTCCTACCTATAAATTGGAGCGAGACAGATGGCAGAAATCGACCACCCTCCTTCCCCTCGCTGACGCTTTGCCCCCCATGGCTTCGCCTGCGCCCTAAAGGAGAACATTTTGGGGGATCCCCTCCTTGGAGGACGGCCCCGCTCCCACCCTGAGACCCATGGCTGAGACCTGCGTCAGGAGCTCACGGACACCATACGTGGCTGCTGAAGTAGTTTTAATCAGCGTTAATTAGCCTTGTGACGGAGCCTACGGTCAGTCCTACTGGGCACCTCCTGACGTCTGTGGGACGTTGGGGCACAGCATTGGGGATGCAGATGTCCCCTGATGTGGGGACAGCCGCCTTCCCTGGGGAGGGAGTCCGTGAGCTGAGGGCTTTCCATGAAGCCCCGATGGCCCTGAAGTTTTACTGCAGATGTCAGGACAGCGGGACGACTGGGGACACGGGGAGCACTGAGGGCACACTGGGGACACTGGAGGCGTTGCTGGATGTTGGGGGGCATTGCAGGCATGGGGGACACCGAAGGAATTGGTGACAATGGGGACAAAGCAACGTGGGGTCAGATCTGTTGGTCCACGTTGACCCCAACCCCATCGGACGCTGGGGACAACATGAAGTCACGCTCAGGGTTCTGCACTGACCGCATCGGTCACATCCATGGGACCTCAGTCACCCCACTGCCCTCAGCCCTGTGCCTTGTTGACCCCCAACCCCACGGGATGACCCAACGCTGACCAAGAGTCGCTTGACCCACAGACGTTGGGCACAACCGTGGCACCACTTTGATGGCCGCACAGACACCGGATCCATCCCCATTTCCGACCCCCACCCCATCAAACCCCCTCCAATTTACCCCATAACCTCCTCCTGGTTGGGGCTCACTCCCTCCGCCCACGCCGACCCCAAAAACCCACACGTTGCTCCCCGAACAGCCCCACTGACCGCCCTGCGCACGGCGCTGGAGGAGAAATAGAAGATGAAGGGGTCGAGCGCGGCGCTGAGGGTGCAGAGGAGCAGAACGTAGGGCCTCCACGTGGGGCTGCGCTGCTGCACAAAGCCCACCACGTGCGAGAGGTTGTAGGGCCCAAAGCAGACCCCAAAGATGACCATGGTGGCCACGGCCAGCCCCACGGTGCGGTACTTCTTCTGCGGCGGGATGTGGGGTCGGGTGAGGAGGGCGCGGATGAGGCGGACGTAGCAGAACACGGTGACGGCAAAGGGGAGGAGGAAGAGGACGAGGAAGAGCTCGAGGCGCAGCGGGAGAACGAAGCTCAGCTGGGTCTGGGAGAACTGATCGTAGCAGCGGTAGCCCCACTGGGGTTGGGTCTCAGAGGCGAGCTGGGGGGTCCGTGGGGCAGTGGTGGGGATGTGGGGGGTGTTTGGGGTTGTGAAGGGAGAGAATCGGAGGGGGGAGATGTCGAGGTCGGTCTCGGGGCTGGAGATGCTGGGGATGGGATTCGTGGAGCCACTGGGGGTGGCGACACTGGCAGCGGAGGCGTTGGGGACGTTGGTGTTGGTGCCCATAGGTTTGGTCAACCCAAATCCCCTGAGGTGAAACCCACCGACCCCAAAACAACGGGATTCATCTGCCTTCAGCCCATCGGGGTCAACGTGAGTGGAATTGCCCTCCCCAGACCCCCAGGCCTTGATCTCGTCGAACCCCGAACCGCTTTCCCCGTCGACCTCGGACCCGTTGGCCCCAAAATCTCTGTAGTGCTCCGCCACGAAGATGAAGGAACAGTGGGACAACGCCATCACCCACAGGGCGGCGCTGGCGGCCATCGTCCTCCACAACCTCCGGCGCCGGTTGTAGCGGTGCGGGAACACGACCCCAAAGTAGCGCTCCACGCTGAGGGCGGCCATAAAGAGAGTGCTGAGGTAGATGCTGGAGTAGAAGCAGAAGTTCGCTATGGGGCAGAGCACTCTGGGGAAGAGCCACAGCATATCGGCAGCCGCCTCGGCCGTCTTGAAGGCGAGGAAGAAGAGGACCAGGAGGTCGGCGGCGTTGAGGTGGAGGAGGAGGAGGTCGGCAGAGGTGAGGTGGGGATGGGGACGGGGACGTCGCAGTTTGGCGAGGAGGATGGTGAAGGTGAAGGCGTTGGCGGGAAAACCCACGGCGAAGGTCAGCGCGTAGATGGTGAGGAGGAGCATGGCGAGAGGAAGGCAGCAGGGCTGAGGGACCCAGAGCTGTAGGGCAAGATATGGGGTGGCACTGGTGCTATGAAAAGGGACGTGGGATCAAAGTGGGGCTGTAGGAGGGGCTAAGGGGTGACACCAGAGCTATGGGTTGGACTATGGAGTCATGGAGCTATGGGGCAGGGATAGGGGGTGCAAATCGGACTGTGGGGTGATTTGTCAATTTCTGGAGGAACGGGACAGGAAATGAGGATGTGGGGTGGGATGCGGAGTTATGGGGCATGATATGGGTTAGGGTGAGGGTTAGGGTTAGGGTTAGGGTTACAGTTAGGATTAGGGTTAGGGTTAAGGGTTAGAGTTAGGGTTAGGGTTAGGGTTAGTGTTAGGGTTAGGGTTAGAGTTAGGGTCGGGGTTAGGGTTAGGGTTAGGGTTAGGGTTAGGGTTAGGATTAGGGTTAGGGTTAAGGGTTAGAGTTAGGGTAAGGGTTAGGGTTAGGGTTAGGGTTAAGGGTTAGGGTTAGGGTTTGGGTTAGGGTTAGGGTTAGGGTTAGGGTTAGGGTTAAGGGTTAGAGTTAGGGTGAGGGTTAGGGTTAGGGTTAGGTTTAAGGGTTAGGGTTAGGGTTAGGGTTAGGGTTAGGGTTTGGGTTAGGGTTAGGGTTAGGGTTAGGGTTAGGGTTAGGGTTAGGGTTAGGGTTAGGGTTAGGGTTAGGG